CTTCCCAGGGGAATTCTACCAAACATTTCAAGAAGAATTAATACCTATTCTTCTGAAACTGTTCCAAAAAATAGAAATGGAAGGAAAACTTCCAAACTTATTTTATGAGGCCAGCATTACCTTGATCCCAAAATCAGACAAAGACCCCATCAAAAAGGAGAATTACAGGCCAATATCCCTGATGAACATGGATGCAAAAATTCTCACTATCACTCTCCTTCTTAAGAAAAAAACATGCACCTATTTTTTCCATCTTCTCAATTTAATGAGTAATTCTGTTGTTTCTCCTTATTTACTCTGCTCAAGCCAAATCACGGTGTCTGGAGTGTAATGCTCAGGAAGGAGTATCGTTTACAACTTCAGAATGGGCTACTCTGAGCCACACTGTCTGATTTGGAAAAGGCTTTCCCACCTTTAAATTTACTTGTTGTCTGAGTCAGTAGAAAGTCTCCATAGAGCAATTCAGTTCCAATTTTAATAATTACCCAGATTCCTGGAACACTTTTATACAAATGCGTCTTCAGCTGCTTACTTGACTAACATAAAAATTCTGTAAAACATACCAGCCATGTGAGTCTACTGATTCTGGGCACCAGAATCTTCCCTGAAATATCAAAGAGGTTCAAGTGGTCCAGGTTGGCTTTCGGGTGCAGGTCAGGCTATGATGCAATAAAACACCATATTCATATATTGTATTATTTGTTTCAGAAGTACAGATCTGTGATTCAACACTCTTGCACAATTCACAGATCTGTACCTCTGAAACAAATAATATAATATATGTTTAAAAAGAAGAAGAAGAAGAAGAAGGTAGCAGGAGGGGAAGAATGAAGGGGGGGAAATCGGAGGGGGAGACGAACCATGAGAGATGATGGACTCTGAAAAACAGACTGAGGGTTCTAGAGGGGAGGGGGGTGGGAGGATGGGTTAGCCTGGTGATGGGTATTAAAGAGGGCACACTCTGCATGGAGCACTGGGTGTTATACGCAAACAATGAATCATGGAGCACTACATCAAAAACTAATGATGTATGGTGATTAACATAACAATAAAAAATTTTTTAAAAACCCACCACAGTCAAATTCCACTAATTTACAAGAAAGATTGATTTCTTGTTCATGTCACGCAATGACTAGGTTCAGCTCCAGCTCTATTTCATACCTTCATTCTGACCTTCAGACAAAAGGAGCAGTTCTTTTCCAGAATGTGTCCTTCGCATGACTGGTTGGAAGTACAAGGGCAGACTACCTGCTTAAACCTTCTGCTTAAAATCTTCGCTTGCACCCGTATATGGTACTTTGCATGTATTTCATTGGCTAAAACAAGTCCAGTGGGCAAGGCTGATATAAATGGGACATGAAAGTGTAATCCTATAAGAAGGGCAGGAAGTAACTAAAATCAATACTACAATCTACCATATCAAGTATCTTATAAAATATCAACAGCAATGCATGTATGTCTTCATGAGCAAAGGACTTGGGTATATTGAGAATTGTTGAACCATTTGGCCAGCCCCATAAGATCCTTCCTCCACTCAATCAGGAGAGAAGTTAGAGAAGGCTGATACAGATGCAGGCAGGTTCTGAAATGAGAATCTCTAAAGATTTTACTATACAATTAAGATAAACATAAATATAAACATAAATTCAGAATACTATAACATAGAATCTAATATTGGTTTCCACGTCATCTCCTTCCCCTGCACCCACCCATCTACTCAACCCATCCAAGTAGCCTGGTAGCTGACTCTCATTCTAGGATCTATAGATTTTATCTGGTGTCTCATTTTTTTCCCTGTTCCATAGCTCATTTCTTTCTTTTAGGACTCTTATTTTCTGTTCCTCATGAAGCACTGTCAAAATTCTACTAAGTACAAAGTATATCAAATTGCTTTTTATTTTCTTAGATAGAACTCCATTTATTGCAACACACACTGCAAATTATCGGCTTCCAGCTTTACTTATTAAGCTAGAAATGTCTTTCTGTTTTGATTTCTTTTGTTTTTTGGTTTGCCTTTCCATGCTATTTCTCTAATAGGAGCTCCACTTGCTACAGGCATTGTCTCTGGCCTCAGCTTTCTGTGCCTGCGATAAGGCAAGGCACATCTTAAAGTTACTTAGGTGTGAAAATAAACTTCTTGTTTGAAATCTAAGATAAAATATATTCCCCATTGGGCAGAAATATCTAATCCATATCATTTCCTATGTTGCATTGTTATACATGCTCTATCTCCATCTCATCTGTCCTCTCAAGTGATGTTCCTTTCAAACCATTTCCCACCCAATGTCATGACGGCTAGATTTACATGATATTAATGAGACATGCTCTAATTTTGTGTATTCCCATGATGGCACATTTCTTGCAAATTGCCAGTTTTCCCCAGCCCTAATCCTCTTTAGAGGGGATCTGCCTCTTTTTGAGTTTTTTTCTTGAATAAAAATATCTTAATTGCTGTCTTTATTTTTGTATCACTGCTGACGGGGCCAGTAGAAGCCAAGGAGTTACAGCTTTCTGGTGCTAGAAAACTCAGCCTAATCTCTGATGTGAAGATCTAGGAAAATGTGATTTTATATGGCTATTCTGTCTGATTACCATTATTTCTTATGGCAGTTAATAATACTGAATAAAATACTGTAAATCAAAATCCTATGCTTGGTCACATATTCAATGTGCCTACCCACACACTTCTATTACTATCAATTAAAAGTTACATTGTTTCATCATTCAGCAATTCAATTTCTCAGATATGCCAAGAGACTTTCCAGTCACCAAAAGAAGTTCTGAGAGTGCTCATCTTCAATACTGAGAATATTTGGCCCTCCCAAAGATTCGCATTAATGTGTTTTTGTGAGAGCTTGCCTAACCCTCTTCTACAAAATAGTGCTTCAATCAGAAAAGCTCTTTTCACATGTATGTCCTTATCTACCCACTCCAAAAATGCAGCTTAAGACCAAAACTACGGATGACCATCTCTGGCATCAAGTGTCATTTGATGGTCGTGCTGCACATCCCCACTGTCCTATTCTCGATTTTGAGATAGTTTCCAACACCCCATCTGAATTCCGTTCTTTGCCTGGTCCTTCGTTTCTAGTTTGAACCATAAGGCATGAATATGAAGTTGAACTTTTCCTCCATCCATGTTCTCCTGCTCTGATTGGATATTGAGAAACACCCCTGGCTGTACAACCTGATCAATTTATTACTTCTACCGAACTTGGATATTTTTCTTTCAACCTTGACCTGCCAGTTGAGATTCTAAACCTGGTTCTGACCCTCCAGTTTGGCTGGAGGGCTTAGATTTTTCATGTCAGTTTCATGACCAAAGCTCTGTCCACTGATGTAACTTAAGTCCTGTTTCTGAGTCCCTGTGACTTCTCCTACCCCAAAGCTACCCACATCAGTGACCATTTTTCTTGAGTCAGAAGAAAGGAATGAAGGGATGACCACACCACTGACTGGCATTGTCAAAACATGCTTCAGATGTATAGATCTAAGTGTGATGTGGGGTGTGTGTGTGTGTATGTGTGTGTGTGTTTGTGTGTGTGTGTGTATCATTATATAATATACACTTGTTGAATAATTTGGGAGCTTTAATTCAGACTTTAGTTTTAACCTGCATTAAATATTGTTCACATTTTTTAATGATTTTCACCCATGAAAATAAACTGATTTCTCCATTACTTTTAGATGGTCCAGTAGTCTATGCAGCGTACTTAAAGATGGAGCACAGTGACGAGAATATTAAATTCTGGATGGCATGTGAAACCTATAAGAAAATTGCCTCACGGCGGAGCAGAATTTCTAGGGCAAAAAAGCTTTATAAGATTTACATCCAGCCACAGTCCCCTAGAGAGGTAACTACGTGACAGTGACAGCTAATGGAAATCAGTACGTCCTGGGGAGGATGCTAGTATCTCTCAAGCACAGACATGTGCCAGGCACTTCATATCCAGTATCTCCCACTATGCTACAAAGTCAGTATTGTTGACCTTATTTTACAGATAAGAAGCCTGAGAATCTGAGAAGTTAATTAGCTTGTTCAGTGTCACATAGCAGATAAGTGAGAGAGTTAGGATTCAAAGTTATGCCTGTCTGGCTCCAGAACCTCTTCTCATTAAATTATCTTAATTCCTGGGAAAGTTTCTTTAAAAAAAAAAAAAAAGGAAAAGGAGAAGAAGTCCTTGTAAGAAGAATCGACTTTGCTAGAAGGAACTACAGATACCATACATTGGCATATTGACAACCCCAGTGGTTTGAGGAAAGTCTATGCCTTTGCAACATACTCACTGCTCACCTCAGTTCCAAAACAGCAAATCCAGCAAACATTCACACTGATATTACAGCCAATCATTTACAGTGGCCTAAAGAAAATAAAGAGTCATGAGTGCATGACACATTGGGACCCCTGGTGGATAGAGAATAAGGAATGAAAATTCTTGTCAAGGGGATAAAGGTAGACCATGACATACGAGATTCCTATCATGCAGGACAGTCCTATGTTATTGACTTGTTCCTCAAAACTCTTATCTGGAAAATGCTTGTTTTATTGAAATAACCACTTCTCTCCTTTATTTCTCCACCTCTCTTCACTCTCTTCCCATTTCAGGGCATATTCAGTGAAACCAACATTCATGACTACTAAGAAAGATAAACTTTAAAATAGCACCAACTTCCCTTTTCCTTAAAAGAGACCTTCATCTCATAAACTTCCTTGTTTGTAGACTCCACTAACAAACCAGTTGCATCTGCCTAAGTAAGCAATGGTTTCTGAGATTTCCCTGGTCTTGGGCTCTGTGTTTTCTGTTTTGTTTTGTTTTTGAATCTGGGATATGCAGGTGGATGTTTAGTTATTAAGAAGCAAAGTTTGTCTCTTAAAAGTCTTTTTAGATATCTATGAAATTTCAGACAAAATTACCCTTTTCCAGTAAAAAAAAAAAAAGGAGAGGGGGGAGAAATTAAATTTTCCATTATGGTTTCTATCTTCAATTATACTTACTTATGCTCTACATGTAATTTCACTTTTCAGATTAACATTGACAGTTCAACAAGAGAAACTATCGTCAGGAATATTCAAGAACCCACTCAAACGTGTTTTGAAGAGGCTCAAAGGATAGTGTATATGCACATGGAAAGGGATTCCTATCCCAGATTTGTAAAGTCAGAAATGTACCAGAAACTTTTGAAGACTATTCAGCCCAACAACAATTCCTAACTACCACTCAAAAGTTTAAATTGAAGATGGTGTTTTGAAAGTGCTGGCTTTGTTGTTTTAATTAACACACACACACACAATCAGAAATAGAATAGGAATGAAATAAAAGAAAACAAACTACAAATTAATTTGTTCTAGTTCTCAAAGAGAAACAGATCCCCAAAGGGATGGACTCTAGAATAGTTATAACATGAAAAACACAATTTATGTCATGCCTATGTAGCTCAGTTAACATATAGAAAAAGGAAGGTCTTCATGACACCAATATTATAAAGTTTTTACTGCAGTAGTCAACTAATGGATGTTTTCTTATTAATGAAATTTTGCTGTCATAATGCGCAGATCAGTTCTTTAAAAATTGTAGCTATATGAGTTGTCTCTAGTATGAGTGTATTATATAGATGGAGTGCTCATAATACCTTCAATTAGTAGACAAACTTAGTATGTGAAGTACAATCAATGGTCCAATATAATGAGCAATATAAAAAGATACGTTCTTGAGAGATATTTTATCTGTAAAATTTTCCTATTATATTCATAATTAAACTTCTATAGCACAAATATCTTCTATATGTGAAAATTTCTGATGATTCTAAGCTATTAAGAATGTATAAAATTCTTCATTTATTCTTATATTGACATGAGGTTAGAAAATTTGGTTCCTATATTTTAAGTACTGTTTCCTCACAATGTGAATTTATCATGGTCCTGATAATCAATAAATCCAAATATAAACTAAATTCTTATAAATCTATGCTTTTTTCAAAGACACAATGAAGTTATTTTTCCAGCAAAAGACGGTCTTTATCTGTCCTGTCGTAACAGTTTCTTAGAGTTTGTTAGATTCCAGAAGAAGCAACTCATATCTATTTCACTTGTTTTGTTTAGCACATAGTATAGATATAAACGTTCCATACAGATGGATAAATATTCTATATTTTTATGAAGAATAAAATACATAAAAATATTAATATCATTTTGCCAAAGAATTAACTATAGGAAAATATTGTTCAAGATTTTTAGTTTTACTATGAAAAGTGTTTCTCTGGTCTCAGATTTGACTGAAATAGCATTACTATTTTAAAACGCCTATAAATCTATGCTGTATGACATGAAAATGAGTATCAACTGTAATTCTTCTCAATCAGCAAAGGGCTATTATAACACAGAATAAATATTTGAGGGTTTATTTCTGAGAAAGTACTCAAGAGATATTTTTGTGAAAAAGTGTATCACTAATTAATGCGGATTCTAGCTAAAGTAGAAAGTGTTACCACAGTGGTCCATTTTACGTAGTTCACTAAATTTTATTTTCTCTTAAAAATACCAATACAAGGATACAGATTGACATCTTAGATATCTGAAGTTGATGATGATCCCTAGCCAAAATAAACCAAAAGAAAAAAAGTTTCCTCATGTTTCAAATAGTTTCATCTCACTCTGACTGGGAATGAGTATATTTATAGACATATAATTAGGAAGTGTTTTACATACATGGTAATAATACACATGATTTGAGCAGTTTCAGAAGACCTTGAGCCCTTATCATTCAAAATGTACTAAATCAGCCACTGATATAACTAATAAATAGAATTGGAATAATCAGCATTCTTTACTACTTATCTCTCCCCTTCATTGGGTGAATATCTGTGTTCCAATACAAAATAAGTCTAGAACTTTCAGTTTTGCTTATATGCTGATTTCACGTCCTGAATAAAGTCCCTCTGCTTAGCTATCCCAGCACCTTCACCTCATATTGGGTAAACAAGGTGCCACATGGTAACATGAAACAAAAACCTTTGGACTGAGGTACAAAGCAACCGGATTAGTGTCTGTTCACTCACCTGATGTCATTGTACCTTTAGTATCAGTAGGTCTTATTCTCCTCATCTATCAAATAAAGGGGTGGGACTAGTTGATTTGACTGAGCCACACACAGTGTGTGTTTTATTACATACCATTAATAATGTATTCATTATTCTTTTTCTCTGTAACAAGCCTGGGCTCATTTTGGAATTCCTCCCCAAATCAATGTTTTCATTAGGAAGTGGATAACAAACTATTTTGCATTTAACATTAGTTGAGGGACTTCTGAAATTTTTTACTTTGGAACAGAGAACTTAACCTGCTATCTTTTCAAGAATTCTACATGGGAGTATGTGTTTTATGTTAGTAGCACTTAAAATAGCTTTCAGATCATTTTAACCTGATAATATACTAAATCTTGCTCATTTTCCTTAGGATATTTATTAAAATAATTCAAAAATTGATGATACTTATCAAATGGCTATAAGGGTATGCCTACATTAACACATTTTTACATGGTATTTGTTTTTTCATAAGTGCTTTGAGATTAATAAGTTAAAAACATATTGTTAGATTTCTATATCAGAACCTGGATATATTTATGATTTTTTCTCTTTTTTTAGATATACATTTTCAAACTCTGGAGATATATGAGATAAGCCTTCATTGTATCTGCCTAAAAATAAAATCTTATCTTCTCCAAAGAAGATAATGACAGAGATTTGTACATTTCAGATTCAAATATCTTGGCAGAGATGAACACTTTCCTATTTATAATTCATCAGTCACACCATAGTTCCATTAACTGCAAAAGACTTTTTACCAATTTTGGAAAGAACGATTACAGAAAAAAGATATGTAAAGTTTTCTCCAAAGACATAATAGGGTGTGATTTGAAGAAAATCCTAAGTTACCACTGCCCAAAAATATCTTCCCTGTATCTAGGACCTGAAATTCCCATCACTGGTCATAGAAGATGAAAAATGGGATTGAAATTCAAGCTGTAAGTGAAAAACGAAACACTAGTGTTGACACATTACCTGTTGCCTAGCAGAAAGTAAAACTGGGAAAATAGAATGTAGGCCTATAGGGTAGCCCAGGAAAATAGGCTGAGAGAACAAAGATATTTGGGTAACTACAAGTCACCAAATACCAAACAAGACATAGAAATTGGGGACACAAATGGAAAGGGATTGCTTATTAAAATCTTCCTATGTTGTTAATAGAAAACCAAAGGAGAGGAGTGCTTCATTTAAAAAGCAGGTATTCTAAATGCTAATTATACATTTTTATGGAAAAAAATTAGTAGCATTCCTATAGAAATAAAAGAGCAAGTATTAAATTCTTCAGACAAATAGTATTTATAGAAGCATTCTTTGAACAAAACTTTACCTAGCTTCCAATGAGTACAGATATTGTACATGCAGACATGAATTAGGTGAGGCTTCTGTTCTCAAGATGTGTGAGCTGATAATTAAAATACAAAATAATAATGCAAAATACTAACAGCCAAGGTTGACATGTGCAGAGTGCTGTGGAGTCCCAGCAGAAGCATCTACTTTTACCCAGCAGAATTTAGAAAGAAAATAAGAGGTGAGGTTTAAGATGATTCTTGAAGAATAATTAAGAGATCGCTCAGAGGAAAGGGGAAAACAGAGTGGATTGAAACAAGGGTAGAAAAAGGGAAATCTCATGGCAAACAAGACGATTTAAAAGATAGTTGGAGGCTCTAGAATCAGACCAATTTAGGTCCAAATCCTGGCTCTAACACTTAGCAGCTGTGAGAATTTAAGGAACTGTTTAATCTCTCTGAACTTTGTTTTTTCTTCATCTATAAAATGATAATAGCAATAACATGAATAACATCTACCTTTTATATATTCACGTGCATATAAAGTCCTGATACTGTGCTTAATAAAATTTAACCATCTTATTCATTCCTGTAAAAGTTCAAATGAGAGACAATGATAGTCTAAGCTAGGCAAATGAGGAAAACAGAGGGAGAAATTGTGAGCAGATCAGATACAGGGAATTATCAGGGTTGATCCAAAGTTTCTAATCTGAGCATCAGGGTAAGTACAGGATGCCATTAATTGAAAAAAGCAGTTCAGAAAGATAAGCAGGTTTGGGAAACAGGTTGAGTATATGAGGTACCTACATGCCATAAGTGGGATTCCAGAGAAGAAATGTACATCTGGGAATTGTTAGCATGGCTGACTCAATGACCAGAAGAGATCTTATGGTGAAACTGTGCAGGACAGAGAGCAAAAACCCGTAAGACCCAATCAAACCTTAAGGAACAAGATAACATATTAAAACTCTTAAATTCTCACTGGAAGCTCATCACATCATTTATAGTACTGATAATGATTATTTATTGAGTTTTACTATGTAGTGGATACTATGCTAAGTATTTGGATATGTTATTCACTCATTCAATAAATAGTTATTGAGCATCTACCATATACCAATATGGTTGTCAGAAATAGGGAGTCACCAACAAACCAAGCAGAAAACATGTCTGCCCTCAAGAAGCTTACATTGTCTTTATGTCATAAAATAGTAATTGTAGAAAATCATATTGGCTATTAAAAAAAAGACAACATAATAGGATAGAGAGTAGCAAGGTGGGAGGTGGGGATGCTCTGGAGAAAGTAGTCGAGGGATTCTCCCTACCTAATTCATATGCTCCTCCCTTTTGACAACCCTAATCAAGGGTGAGGAATCTGAGGTTTTGAGAAGTTAAATAACTCTTTCAGTATCTCTCACTAGAACCAAGATTTTTCTGACTCTAATACCTTAATCATTATAATCAATATAATCATATTATATAACTCAGTACTATTAATCATTATAAGTACAGTCTCCCACAACCAAGCTGAATACAAAGTAAATGTGCAATGATCTAACATAAAAAATATGCATTCAAATTTAAAATGCCATTACTATACAGACCATTTTAATATGAAAGATCACTATTAAAACTATCTCTAGTTACTGCTAATGAACTCATGAAAATTGGTTTAAAATGCCATCGATGCTTGGGTCTCTGCTAGAAAGAAGAATTATCAGGGAACTGATGTAATGATGCCCAGATTCCAGTAATAGGATGAAACATCTGTTTAGCTGGCAAATATGTTGCTTAAACCCAATTATTTATGAATGAGAGGGGAAGGCGATTGCAGAGGATCCAA